AACTCATAATGCCCGTACCTGGTCTGAAACACAGTCTTAGAGATATCGAACTCTCTAATCTTCAACTGATGGTAGCCAGACCTCAAATCGATTTTCGAGAAAATACTGGCTCCCCTCAGCTGGTCGAAAAGGTCATCGATGTGGGGCAATGGGTACTTATTCTTTACCGTAAGGTTGTTAAGCTCACGGTAGTCAATTCACATGCGCATGGATTCATCTTTCTTTTTCACAAAAAGAACTGGTGCTCCCCATAGAAAAACACTCGGTCGGATGAATCAAGGTCTAGAAACTCTTGGATCTAGGCCTTGAGCTCTTGCAGCTCCTTTGGCGCCATACGATATAGTGCCTTCGATATGGGACCAGCGTCAGGTACTAAGTCGATCGTGAACTCGACCTGCCAATCCAGTGGTCCTCCTGGCAACGCCTCCGGGAACACATATAAGTACTCGCATACGATAGACACACTCTCCCGAGACTTCTTTGTTTCTTCGCCCACGATACTCACCAAGTAGCCTTGAAAGCTCCCTAAGATAGACTCTTCATCACCTTTAAGAAATATATGACTCGCGACACGGTCCTCGTCTTTACTCCATAGAACGCGATCGGCTGGCCGTCATCGAGAAATAGGTTCAGAACGAATCTGATGTCGGCTCAGTAGCGGGTTAGCCAATCCATGCCAAGGATTGGCTTACCGCTACAACCATTACACCCTAAAATAGGTACTACATGTAGCATTGCACATCAAACCACCATTTTCGTGCATGTCCCTTTGGGCATTCTATCCCCAGTACAAAAAAACAAAGTGAAAATAACAATTACAAACAACAAGACACAATACACTCTTGATCTCTTCTTCTCTTTTTTCAAATTGTTAACTTGTGCTTTCAGAATCTTGATTTCTTCGATCAAATTACCAAGCTTAGTAATTTCGACTTGCATCTTCTTGATTTTCACTTGCATTATTTTTGTTTCATTGATTTTTTCATTCAATCTGTTAAGTAAGTCTAAGATAATTTGTTGAGACCGATGACGTATAGGTGTCTCAGCCCAATCAAAGTAGTTACATCCTCCCCCCTGCCAAAGCCACAAAATAATATCTTGAACAGTAAAATTGAACAAAGTTGGAACAATTAGGGAAAAAAATCGAACTTACATTCCAATGACGACAGGAGAAAAATCTCCTTCCACAGTTGGGATACTTCCATGAAGTTTGACTCACGACTCTATGTCCGCAACATCAATCAACATTTCCAGTAATCTCAGACATCAATTTCGATTGAAGATAAAAAAAAAGGTTAGGGTTCTTCGCCTTTAGGTTTTAACGTTTAAGGAATGGTTTGATTCTGGGCTGAAACGTGGTTTTAATTAGTGTTTTGTCGATTGTACTGAGGTTCCAGACACGCGTGCATCCATGTTGGATCCACGTCGGCTAAACCGGATTGAGTAAGCACTTACAGGTTATTTTAGGTTAACTGTAGCTAAATTGAGCACGAGTTCCACATTGTAACAAATTCCACGGCATTTTTGCCAAACCCAAAAGAAGTTGTCCATAATTGCTACAGGCCCATAGTTACAGGGCACAAAATATAATTTTGCCAACAAGATGCTCTCCAAGAGAAGCTTATTATTCCTTTCATTATTGTTCCATGGAGCTAAGGTCCAAAAGTTATTATTTTCTATTACATTAGATTATTTGTATTAGTTAGTGATCCCGCGACTCCATGTATGAATATAGTCGTCAAAGGGGTGAATATGCTCTCAATTCTAGTAAAACGAAATCGTATGAAATATGAGTTGGTGATGAGAATTGATGGAACTTAATATGGGGTCTTGAAAACTTAGTAATTTTTTCTCCTTTTGTCACCTTTTTGTGGATCGTTAGTAAAAAAATCCCTTTATATATAATTCTCGAACGCACGCTTCAAATTCTATATGGCAAATTTTTATGGTTTTTCATTTGACTTGGATGGATTTTAATTTATTTGCAACCCAAAAAGAACTAGGTTTGGAATATCTATATATATACTGATATTTATGATCAGTTTTAAGAGCAATAATCATATTCTAGACATGGTTTATAAGGTATAATTCTTTTTTCTGCAATCTTTATTTTTTCTTCATCTTTTATTTTTTATAATTATAAAATAAATGAATAACCTAAATTATAAATATATCTAAGAGCTAATATTTATGTATAATATATCAAATTAATCATGTTTTGATGGTATTCGATTTGACATACCTCCATATAATTCCCGAATGTGCCGAGACTTGCACACTTCGAGATCCTATGTGGCAAACTTTTAAGCTTTATTTGGCTTAGGTGAATTTTATTTTATTTCCAATCAAAGAGTAATTAGACTTGTGATATCCATAAATATATTAAATATTTATGGTCCTTATTAAGAGAATTAATTAAGTTTTATTATTATTATTTCATATTCTAGATTTGGTTTATAATGTATAATTTTTTTTTTCTCAATCTTTCTTTTTTCCTCATATTTCTTTTAATATTATAAAAAAAAATTTACTAACTTAAATTATAAATATATTTAAAAGTTAATATTCATTAGCAATTTTTTATATATAAAATATCAAATTAATCATGTCTTGATATTTTGATTAGACATATATATTATACATGATTAAATAATTAATCATGTTAAATATTGATATGAAATATCCTACTAGACCGACTTTAATAGATAAGAAGTAATATATTGAAGAATAAGCCTACACATGGGCTAGGACACATGGCATAATGGTATTGACTACGCCCAACTTGGGCACTAAGGTACACTTTCCTATAAAAGGGGGTTGAGGTATCCAAAAATCATGCTTTCTACATTCATTACTATACTCTCATTTTGCACTCTTGATTTTGGAGCGAGTGCTGACTTAGGCATCGGAGGCCCGACGTCGGGACTCCTCGCGGCGTTTGGTTCTTGCAGGTACGGAGGCCGTCCGAGTTGAAGTAGCCTGGGTGAAGTCCATTTCACTACCAAATCATAATTTAAAAATAAAATTTTTTAAACTAACGTAACCACAGTGTAGTTCAATAATAAATTTTAGGCAAAATTGCATGTAAATGCACCACCTTTCATGTTTTTGCAATTTAATCACCACATTTGCAATTTAGCAATTTAATACACCACTTTAGTTATTTTTTGCAATTCGAATCACAGGGCCCAACTTCGGGCCTGTTCTGCTGACGTGGCGACCCATTCTGCTGATATGACATTTTTTTGCTGACGACATTCCACGTGTCAACAATTACATGGCATTTTTGCGCTGACATGGCGACCCATGTGTCAATTAAAAAAAATATGTTGTCCGCCCTATATGAGATTCGATCCTGGGTTAAAAGGGTTAAAAGGCAACCATTGCTACCACCAAACCAATCCAACTTAGTTGTCAAATGTAATTACCTTTTATATATATATATATACATTACGTATGAAGAAATCAAATTAAATCTAAAAGAAATTTATTTATATTAAATTAAACTATATAAAATTGAATTAAAAATAATATATTAAGATAATTAAAATATATTTTTTTGAATTCATATTTTGTGTTAGAGTGAATCGAATTAATAATATTATATTAATATAATATTTTTATTTATTTATTTAAAATAAATTTATTATAAATATAATAACTTATTATTATATAATAAATTATTATTTCATTTAAGATTTTTAATATTTTATTATTTTATATAAAGATAACAATTTTTGTTTCAATATTCATTTACGATTATTTAACATTTTATTTACGTAAATTATATTTTTAATTTATTATATTTATTTAAGATTTTTAATTATCTTCATTTATTTTATTTTCATTTAATTTAATTTATGATAATTTTATATTTTATTAATTTAATATAATATATTTAATTATTCTGAACTTAATATAATTTATTCATACGTAATTCTTATATATATATATTGTTATTGAATATGTTAACTAACATGGATAGGTGAGTTGGTAGCATAGTTACTTTTCTCCCATGGAGACCAGGGTTCAAACCCCTCTTTCTACACATACATATTCTTTTCTTTTTCAATTGACATAGACTGTCACGTCAGCCCAAAGATGCCCCGTCATTGACACGTGGAAACGCCATGTCACCAAAACAGGCCCGAAAGTTAGGCCCGAAAATTCGAATTGCAAGAAATAAGTAAAGTTGTGTATTAAATTGCTAAATTGTAAAGGTGGTGATTAAATTGCCAAAACATAAAAGGTGGTGCTTTTATATGCAATTTTGCCTAAATTTTATAAAATAATAAATTCTAATTTATAACATAATAATTTCTAAATTTAACATTATTCAAATAAAAATTAAAAAAAAAAACACTGGCAATATAGGCTGGACCGGGATCGGTCGGCCGGCTGGCATTATCGGCCGCACAAGGTGGCGGTCGACCAGTTAGGCCGGCCGACCACTACTGAGCGCGCTTGCAATCGCCAACCGGCCGGTCGCGGTGAGGTTTGATTTAAAA